AAACAAGTATATGTTTTTTTATCCTATTCGTTAATTTTGTATTTTATTATTATTTATTTGTTTGTTTGTTCATGTTATTCTTACTACTATTAACTGAGATTGGAGTTTACTTAGAGCAAAGCAGATTGTGGGTCCATCAGGAAGCAATACTAGATAGTTTGTTGTGCTTTTCTGACTTCTTTTGCGGCCTGTGCCTAAATTAAACGAAAGCCAATGTCAAAATTCCACGAAACTTTAGGATCATATCTCTTTAGCCACAAGCAAGTTGAACAGAAATTGTATATTTCTGAGTACCCTTGGCTCCTAGATAATAAAACCCTGCCATGGAAACGAATTAACAACATTGCAAATTGTTGCTGGTGGACCACCACTACAGCTTTGCCATAACTATTTCTTGGACTTTTTTACTTTAAACTTATTAATCAGTCTGGAAATCAACTAACTTATGTTGCACAAATCCATCAACATCGCTTCTTCAATGAAAACGTAAACTCATTCCAATTTTTGCCATGTATGTCAACATCTTGAAATCCATTAATTTAAACGCTAATATTCATACCACAGAATTCATGGATCTTTTTCTTGCTCTTAAGTGCATTACCTCTTAGGGCTACTCGTAATCTTTTGTTTTTATTCCATCCAACTCGTTGAACTGTTTGCAATCATTGGCATCTGATTGCTTTCCTTCTCACCCAGTCTTAATTTGGGAATGTCGTCTTCTAATTTCATATTTGTCTCACCTTTTCTCTTCAGTTTGCTTCACATAGGCTCTAGGGCTTATTGGAATTCCTGGGCATTAATACATAAACCAGTTGACTCAAAAAGCTTGACAAAAGCTTCTATTTGACATTTTCCTCCTCTTAATGTGCAAGATTTCAGCTATAATCTCCTTCTACATGTGCATTCCATTTGGATACATTTCTGAACTGCCAATATCACTGTACATTTTTCTTACAGTATTCAATCTATACCTCCAACAGCAAACCTTTCGTTGGCCCACACAGACATCTTAATGTCATACACACCCGTCTTCATCTTCAACTACACTCCCTTTAAAATTGGAGTTCGTGATTTCTTTATGTAAAACCTGTCATGATTTGCTGGAGACCATAAATCACGTTTTCCTTCATTGCTCTTATTATTACATATCTCGTTTGTATCCTTTTCAATTTGTTTCCAGTTGCAATATTCCTTTCACTTTGCATACCCTTTTTGGAGTCTATTATATTCTTGCTTCCTCTAGACCTCATGTGCTGTTTACCATTTTTAATTTTTTGCTTATCACCTCTTTGTTTGACTTCTTTTAATATGTAATATTAAATATCTTTCTACTTTGTATTTTTGTTTGTTACTTACCTCCCAAAATACTAATATCTTTTAGTTTCTCAAGAATCCTTATACCTTAGACTTGGTAGATCGCCAATGTATTTCCCTCCTGGATAACTGCATCTGGCAGCCACGACCCTCTCTGATGAGTTTGGCCTTTATTGTTGATTCATAGTGTAATAGACATAAAATGCGCCAATAAAATACAAAAGAAAAATGAAAAATTATACATTTTAAAAACAACAAATGAACAAAGATTGTTTAGAATGAAATCAACTTAACGATGTTCTCGACCCTATGTTATGTAAAACCTGCACATATACAGAATAAATTCGGAATAAATACATAAATACTTATCATTACAAGAAGATTGTTTGTTTGTTTTTGAATTTCGCGCAAAACTACACGAGGGCTATCTGCGCTAGCCGTCCCTACTTTAGCAGTGTAAAACTAGAGGGAAGTTTCACCATTTTCATCACCACCCACCGCCAACTCTTGGCCTACTCTTTTACCAACGAATAATGGGATTGACCGTCACATTATAACGCCCCCACGGCTGAAAGGGCGAGCATGTTTAGTGGAACAGGGATTCGAACCCGCGACCTTCAGATTGTAAGTCGAGCGCCCTAACCACCTGGCCATGCCGGGCCTATACAAGAAGATAAAAATACATGGTATATTCCTATACCACAATAGGAACAAAATAACACCAAGTTTTGAAAAGTTGGTGAGATCTCTCCCCTCGAATTATCTACAAAATAAAATTATAACTGTTGAGTTTTATTAACATTTGTTCTGGATGAAGCCCATTTTCTCCTACCCTTTCATCTCCTTACTTTCACAAGCCTGGAGTTGTTACTATTCATGAGGATTAAACTTGGGAATTTTCCCTGCTTTCTATTCCACCATCCCCTTTTTTTTAAACAGAATTCTACTCCTGATCCCATGTCACATTGTATTAATCCCGGCTGCATACTGTTTACTTTATTAACACAGAAAAATAAGCAACATATTGTTACGTCTCCGTTCGTTAGCTAATTTTCCGTAAATTCGTTCCGACGAAACTTTACC